ACAGAGGAGAACTGCCCCACAGGGTTTCCTAAACTGTCATCTATTGTGTCACTATATAATCATATATACTCTTATAGATCATCTACTCACAGTGCCCCGGTGTGACAGGAGAACTGCCCCACAGGGTTTTTGTGATGTCATCTTTACAGGAGAAGATCACTAGGTCTTTAGCTGGTGAAGCCTCTGAAAGGTTTTGAGCCACACAGCTTTTCTGGTAGCAGTCAAGTGCTTAACTGGTGCACTACCAGGACTGCCTTTGAACTCTGGGAATATATTGTAATCCATTTATGGTTGGATATTTAGACTGTGGAGTCATACCGTAAGGCTGTCTTTTGTTTAAAGTGCTTTCGGTATTTCATGTTACTTCCTTAGACTCTGCTTCCAGAGTAAAACGATTGGGCCGAAGTGGTTAACGTTGAATAATCTCTCTTCATTGATTCAGTCCTTTGAGATTCTTCCTTTGTAGTGTTGGCTGCTCCTAACAGACATCCTAGGTGCTGGATGCATTCCTTCATTTAGATGCTGACCAGGAAGGAATCCTAACAGCGTCTCCGTGAAGTTGAAAAACCATGACTGTGGTCAATGGCTTGAATCCCAGTCCCTACTTCAGTAACTAACTTTGGGAAAGTCATTCGTTCCACCTCTCTGAGACTTAGCTTTCTCAGCTGTAGAACAGGCATTTCCACACTGGAGGGTTAAATGGGGTTGTTGCTAAGTTCTGCCGAATTCTTTCCGACTCGTAACGACCCTGTAAGGGGCGTTGTAGGATAAGCACAGGGTTGGTTTGAACCTCACAGTTGGCAGTTCAAATGCACCGTTCGCTCCTTGGAAACCCTGTACAGGGGTGCTGAGTCAGAACCAGCTCAAAGGCACTTAACAACAACAGTAACATGTATAGGGTTTCTGAGGAGTGACTGGTGGGCTTGACTCACCGACCTTGTGGCTAGCAGTCCAATGCTTATCCTGTAGCTACACAACAGGACTCTTTGTTGACTTGCTGTTGTACTTGTTAAGTTCTATCGAATTGGTTCCAACTCATAGGGACCCTGTATAGGGTTTCCGAGGAGTGACTGGTGGTTCACAGTTCCATGTTTATCCTGCAGAGCCACCCTAGGACTCCTTGAGGTGGTTCCAAGTCATAGTGGTCCTGTATAGGGTTTCCGAGGAGTGACCGGTGGGCTTGAACAACTGACCTTGGGGTTCGCAGTCCACTGCTTATCCTGCAGTGCCACCAGGACTGCATAATGCAGAAGGCTGTTTATACTGCCCGTCACTGATAATGCCTTTCACAGAGTCTTTTGTTTGAAAGTGGGGATCTGTGGTAGCCCCACGTCTAGCTCTTCTTAGGGCGCCATGCTCCCAGCAGTGTGTCCCACTCCGTGTCTCCCTGTCCCCTGCTGGTCGCTGTCACAATACGTCAGATTTCCCCATAATGGTGTCACACACTTCCTTCATACATGACAGAAGAGCTCCAATATACCTTTAATCTGTACTGGGAAGCCCAAACCCCTGTGTGGCTGGCTTTTCCTAGCCTTCCCTTTACCACGATGGTCTGGAAGCGAGCCATGTCAACAGCTCTCAGTCCCCAAGGGATGGCTGATTCCAGAGGGGCTTAGGCTGCCTCAGGGTGGGGCCATCGGAGCCTCCCTTCGAGGGGTGGTTGAGTTCACCAGTCGGGGGTGGAGACATGCAGATCGAGTGTGTGGAAGGACTGACGGACACTGTGATGAAGAGAGGACCATGGCGGGGCTGGTGGCCCCAGAGTTGTGTTTCCTGGTGTTGCAGTTATCGGGGCGATGCTGTCTGTGAGTTCGATGCCTGCCGCTGCCCTAATGGGACTCCTTACCTGGGAGGCCTGAATTGACAGAGCCTCACCATTTTGGAGGCTCGAAGACCACGTCAGGGCACCCGTTTGAGGGGAGATCCACAGCCTGGGCGTTCTTGAGTGGTCCTTGGCTTGTATATGGGTCCTCACTTGGCTCATCATTATTTGTGTGTATCTTCATGTCTGTACCCCTCTTCATATGACACCGCTCAGAAGGGCGTGGGTTTAGGACCCACCCCATTCCACTGTGACATTGTGACAATGTTTACCTGTACTGAGAACAAAAGGCAGGGCAAGATGCAGCGAAAGGGTCGGGGCCCGGGTATGTGGTGGGCTTCACTCCCTTATTGTCTTTAGTAGTGCCCCTCCCCCACGATGATTCGTTGTTACCTGTCATCAAGTCAGTTCCAACTCATACTGACCCCGTGTAGGGTTTCCAGGGAACGGCTGGTGAGTTTGAACTGCCGACCTTGTGGTTAGCAGTCCAGTGTTTATCCTACAGCACCACACCAGGACTCTGCTATGATATGAAGGGGATCCAGAAAGTTCAAGGGAAATCCCATTTTTCCATGAACTTTTTGAAGCCCCCTCGGACAGGCTCCTTGTGGGCAGGACTTTATTGGTCCTTTCTGGCTTGCCCCCAGCCCTCCCAGCTCTGGATGGCAGTGGATGTCCCACACGTGAGCAGGTATTGAGTGAACCACGCTCGCCGGCATGGTTCCTCAGGGCTCCCCATCAAATGAGCCGAGTTTGTTCTTTGTGGCTCCATGGAAGGCCCACACTTTTTGAACTGAGATGATGTATTTGGTGAAGGAACTTCTCACCCTGAGCACTTCCCACTAGGAGGAACTGGGTGGGATCAAGTCAGACCTTGGGGCGATGAGACACCACCCCGCCCTCTTCTCCCAAGTCCTAGTGGCCCCAGGATTCCTGGCCAGTGGGTCTTAGAATCACCAGAATGGCCCCGTATTTATGCTTTCAGAGTTCAGGTTAGTTTACTCCTGTGACAGTCATCTCTGTCCACTGTGGGGCAAGTGATGGGAGGTCAGGCTTCAGTCTAAAGAAAGGGCTGCCAGCAGGCCCTGACCTTCTGGGAAACGCCCCCTGAGAGTCAGGACCATGCAACAGGGCGACCCGTGGCAGAGCTGACAAGGCCACACCCAACTTCCCTGAACATTTCTGGCCAGGGAATGACTCTGTCTTCCTCAGTGCATCACTGCCTCCAGTAGGCTGTTCTCTGCCTTTCATCCTCACACATATGTTCCTCGAGGGAGCTCTGAGGGGCGACACCCAGGACATGTCTGCTACCCTGACGATCCAGTGCATTCGCTTTGTTGTGTGCAGAATCGATAGCGGGGCTCTGGCCGTGTCAACGCATCCAGGCCAGCCTTGTGAAAGCTGATGTGTCCATCAGTGGTACCTGGAGTGTGTCCTGGGTCGAGGGTCCAGGCTGTGAGTCCTCAGAACTCCCAGATGCCCCAAACCCTGAGTCATGATTGGTCTTAGCAGTCCTTGTAAGTTTTCATGGACTGCATTTTGCAGAAGGGTCACAGGATTGTCTCGAGGTCTCTGATGCTGTTGCTGTAGCCCATGACCATGTTTGGTGATGGTTAGAGATGGCAGTGTGATGGTGAAGTGGAAGGTGGGTGTGTGAACAGGCCCCATTGCAGAGCAGCCGCTGTCTGCACTGTCTGGGGGCTGCACTGAAGGGCATGTCTTCAGCAGTTTTCACTCACTGTGTACATGTGTGCATGCATTCATGCTTGAGTATGGAAACATGCATGCATGTACATAGGCTCATGTACATATGTGTGTGCATGCATTCATGCTTGAGTATGGAAACATGCATGCATGTACATAGGCTCATGTACATATGTGTGTGCATGTGCACGAGTGCAGTGCATGTGTGTTCAAGTATACATTGCATATGAGTGTGCGTATATATGCTTCAGTGTGCATGTGTGTGGTTCGTGTGCATATGTATATGTACAATGCATTGCATAAAATGTGCACAGGTTTGCACATGTGTGAGCATGTGCACGTGGGCATGTGCATATGGGTGTGAGTGTGCACACTCATCTGTGTGGGTGTGCACACGTGTGTCTGTATGGTATGAGCAGGTATGTGCACGTGTGTCTGCATGTATGCTGGCATGCACACACGTGCGTGTCTGTGCATGTGTGCACAGGTGCGTCTGCATGTGTTGTGTGTATGGTGTTTGTTCATGTGTGTGCATGTGTACATCGTGGGTTTGTGTGTCTTTGAGCACAGGTGTGTGAGTGTGGCCTCCTGAACCCCCGACCTTCACTTGTAGTTTGGAGCACTTATATTTCCTTCCCCCATGCCTGCCTCAGGGGCTGCCCTTTGGGCCTTGTAGAGTTGCTCTGCTCCTCCTGTAAGCCCTCCTGAAAGCATATGCCCTTTGCCACCAAGTCCCCTTAGGGTCTGGGTGTGAAAACATGATAATGGATGATTGGAGTTAATGAGACACCTTCCTAGGCAGTCCCAGTGCATCTTGGGTGGAGTAGTAGCTCAGCCAGCTGCTCCCCCAAATAAACCAAGTGCCTCCATGGCTGGGTGAGTGCAGTGGTCCCTCTGTGGGTGGGGGGTGTCTGAAGGTTGAGAAGGCCCTGACCTCACTGTCCAGCATACAAGACATGCTGCTGCAGACCCAAGAAGTCACTTTGCTGTCATGTTAGGCACCTCAGCCACCGGGGCTGTGAGCACGCTTTCCTCCGTATCAGGCCAACGCTGCTATGTCTGTTCCCCTTCTTAGAACAGTATTCACTGCTTGCTGCTAACGAGTGCTTTTGTGTATGGAAACCTAGGATATTGTCTGTGGAATTGCTTGTCTTCAAAGTGGACAGCTAGGTCTTGGCGGATGGACGGGTCCAGATGCTACTTGTAGAATGCGTGAGGTGGGAGGGGTCTTTGGAGGGCCGACCTAGCTCTGGGAGTCAAAGGGCATCTTTAGAAAGGGGACATCGGCTGTTGTCTTGGGTCTGCTGCTTCAGTGAGAATGTGGAGCGGCAGCTTCCTCCAGCACCAGTGTGCACTTGGTTAGCCTTGGAGTTGGGGAGCTGGGTTGAGGGACAGCGCTTTAAAGACCTAACTGCTGGGATTGCTATGTCCTTGGGGGTGATTTACCTCCTCTAAGTGTGTTCCATTTTTCTCTTTTAGCTTATGTTCCCGAGGAAGAGCTGAAGGCGGCCGAGATCGATGAAGAAACCGTGGAAGAGGGTGAGCTCTCGTTGGACATTCAGGAGAGCGACTATTTGTGCAATGAAGAAACTGAAATCAAAGAGGCCCAGAGCTACCAGAACTCTCCAGTCAGCACAGCCACCAACCAGGAGGCGGGCTACGGGTCCCCTTTCAGTGAGAGCAGTGACCAGCTAGCCCACTTCAAGCTGTCCTCCTCTTCCCGTGAGGAGAAGGAGGACACTCCAGGCCCCGACACTGTTTCCTACCCCCAGGACAGCTTGGCACAAATCAAAGCTGTCTATGCCAACTTGTTCTCCGAATCCTGCTGGTCCAGCTTAGCGCTGGACCTGAAGAAGTCCAGCTTGACCACCAGCAACAGCGATGCCAGCCGGAAGGAGAGCGCCACGCCCACTCCGCCCGCCACCACCAGTACCGCCAGCACGAACGCGCACACCACCAGCACCAGTACTAGTGTCAGCGCCGGTGCCAGCCATGGCAATGGTGGTGGCAGTGGCGCCAGTAACAGCAGCAGCTCTGGGTATGACTGGCACCAGGCAGCCCTGGCAAAGACCCTGCAGCAGACATCCTCCTATGGCCTGCTGCCCGAGCCCAGTCTGTTCAGCACCGTGCAGCTATACCGTCAGAACAACAAGCTATATGGGTCCGTGTTCACCGGCGCCAGCAAGTTCCGGTGCAAGGACTGCAGCGCCGCCTACGACACGCTGGTGGAGCTGACAGTGCACATGAACGAGACGGGGCACTACCGCGATGACAACAGGGACAAGGACGCCGAGAAGACCAAGCGCTGGTCCAAGCCCAGGAAGCGCTCTCTGATGGAGATGGAGGGCAAGGAGGATGCCCAGAAGGTGCTCAAGTGCATGTACTGTGGCCACTCGTTTGAGTCCTTGCAGGACCTCAGTGTCCACATGATCAAAACAAAGCATTACCAGAAAGTGCCTCTGAAGGAACCGGTCCCCGCCATCACCAAGCTGGTGCCTTCCACCAAAAAGCGCGCACTCCAGGACTTGGCCTCGCCCTGCTCGCCAGAGCCTGCAGGGGTCGCTGCGGACGTCACGCTGAATGAGTCTGGGAAGGACCAGAAGACCGCGAACCCCTATGTGACACCCAACAACCGCTACGGCTACCAGAATGGTGCTAGCTACACCTGGCAGTTCGAGGCCCGCAAAGCGCAGATCCTCAAGTGCATGGAGTGTGGCAGCTCCCATGACACCTTGCAGCAGCTCACGGCCCACATGATGGTCACTGGCCACTTCCTGAAGGTGACCACGTCCGCCTCCAAGAAGGGCAAGCAGCTGGTTCTGGATCCTGTGGTGGAGGAAAAGATCCAGTCTATTCCACTGCCACCCACCACGCACACCCGGCTGCCCACTGCCGCCATCAAGAAGCCGCCCGACTCGCCGGCGGGGTCCACTACATCGGAGGAGAAGAAAGAGCCGGAGAAGGTGAAGGTGCCCACCACGGCCAGCGAGGTGGATGAGAAGATCAAGGAGGAGAGCGAGGAGAGCGCCGAGAAGTTTGAGCCCACTGCGCCCTACCAGTACCTGAGGGAGGAGGACCTGGACGACAGCTCCAAGGGAGGAGTAGACATCCTCAAGTCGCTGGAGAACACGGTCACCACGGCCATCAGCAAGGCCCAGAACGGCGCGCCCTCCTGGGGCGGCTACCCCAGCATCCACGCCGCCTACCAGCTTCCGGGCTCCGTGAAGCCGCTGCCGCCTGCTGTGCAGACGGTCCCCATGCAGCCATCCTATGCCAGTGGTGCCAAGTCCCTGCCATCTGAGCACAGCGCCCTCCTGCACTCGCCCGGCAGCCTGACGCCCCCACCGCACCGGAGCAACGTGTCCGCCATGGAGGAGCTGGTGGAGAAAGTCACTGGCAAGATTAGCATCAAGAAGGAAGAGCGGTCCTCCACCGCTGACAAGGACAAGGGCTCCCCGGCCAAGCCCGTGTCCCCGGGGGCCAAGGAGAACAAAGATGTCCCCAAGGCCGAAGAGGTCAGCAGCAAGCAGCCGCCCAAGAAGAGCCCAGAGGCCGAGGCGGGGAAGGCCAAAAAGGAGAGTCCAAGTGACGCACACCCCCCAAATGGCACGGAGCCCCTGAAAGGCAAAGTGACCAACGGCTGCAGCGGCCTGGGCATCATTACGGACCACTCGCCCGAGCCACCCTTCATCAACCCGCTGAGTGCGCTGCAGTCCATCATGAACGCCCACCTGGGCAAGGTGTCCAAGCCCGTCAGCCCGTCCCTGGACCCGCTGGCCATGCTCTACAAGATCAGCAACAGCGTGCTGGACAGGCCCACACATCCTGGTGCCCCTGGCAAGCAGGCCGATGCCATCGACCGCTTCTACTATGAGAGCAGTGACCAGCCCATCGACTTGACCAAGGCCAAGAGCAAGCCCTTGGTGACGGGCGTCGGTGATGCGGTCTCGTCGCCCCTGCGGGAGAGTGCATTGATGGACATCTCTGACATGGTCAAGAACCTCACGGGCCGCCTGACACCCAAGTCCTCTACGCCCTCCACTGTGTCCGAGAAGTCGGATGCAGATGGTAGCAGCTTCGAGGAGGCCCTGGATGAGCTGTCGCCGGTGCACAAGCGGAAGGGGCGGCAGTCGAACTGGAACCCGCAGCACCTGCTCATCCTGCAGGCCCAGTTTGCCTCCAGCCTGCGGGAGACCCCTGAGGGCAAGTACATCATGTCTGACCTGGGCCCCCAGGAACGGGTGCACATCTCCAAGTTCACCGGCCTGTCCATGACCACCATCAGCCATTGGCTGGCCAATGTCAAGTACCAGCTGCGCAGGACAGGGGGGACCAAATTCCTCAAGAATCTGGACACAGGGCATCCTGTGTTCTTTTGCAACGATTGTGCCTCTCAGTTCAGGACTGCTTCCACATACATCAGCCACCTAGAGACCCACCTGGGCTTCAGTCTGAAGGACCTGTCCAAGCTGCCACTCAGCCAGATTCAGGAGCAACACAGTGTGTCCAAAGTCCTCGCCGGCAAGGCCCTGGGCCCGCTGGGGGCCACAGACGAGGACCTGGGCTCCACATTCCAGTGCAAGCTCTGTAACCGGACCTTTGCAAGCAAGCACGCGGTCAAGCTGCACCTCAGCAAGACCCACGGCAAGTCCCCCGAGGACCACCTGATCTACGTCACTGAGCTGGAGAAACAGTAGCGTGCGGCTCGGCTCGGCTCGGCTCGGCTCGGCCCGCCTGCGGAACTTTGCACTTCTATTGCTGTCTACTGCACTAGGCCTGGCCTGAGCCTATGAAATCAGAGTCTTCCTTGGTCGCTTGTCTGGACCTGGGTTTTTTTCGTACACACCTTTTGTAGTTGTATTTATACGCATTCTGTCGACTCCCTGCATGGTATCTTTTCTTTTTCCGTGAGTCCAAGTCTGACCTTTGTTTTCAACATCTGTTCTCGAGGTTAAACTATCTTTTGTAGGACATAGCAGCGGGACCCACACTTCAGAGACTTTTATTTACCAGTCAAGAGAGACACAAATAACAAAGACATCCGGAAATGACAAAGTTTCCATGACAATAAAGGTCATGGAACCGAGTCTTGTCAGATTTAACCCTGTGAGGACTATAATCATATTCCTGTGCCTTTCACTCAAAGGAAAAAAAAAAGAAGAAAAAGAAGGCTTAAAGGCATCTCATTCAGATCAAAAGCTGTGTCAGACACAAAACTTATTTAATAACTAAAAAAAGAAATGAGCTTTTATCAACAGGACTAGTTTCTGAGGAAGCATGCTGGGAAAGCAGGAAGCTTTCTAGGGCTCACGGGGTTAGGAGCTGCTCTATCACATGTTTCAAACAAACAGCAAACACCCCAGTTGCCACTATGCCGAAACCCTCTGGATGCTGAAAAATGCCACTTTTGGCAAAAAACAAAAACAAAAAAACTTAAAAAAAAAAAAAAGTATGCAAGCTATTATTTAAAAAATGTGTACAAATGGCTATTTCTTTTTTCCTGTAACATACTGCGGTTTATAGTTATTTACAAATGTAAGGTTTGGTACAAGCTGACCTTCTATTGTGCGCTGCATTGGTAAATTGAAAAAAGGGGGGGGGGCAGCAAATGTTGGAGTTCTTGTAATTTGCCAGCATCCGCTTTAAAACCACACCACCAACACCAACACCAACAACGACAACCCTGTGATACATAGCGTTCCATTTTAATCTATTCAACTTTCTTTGTACCTTCTGGCTGTATGCTTTCTCTTTTAACTTTTTATATTGTCATTTTATATTCGATTTCTGTGTATATAATGTAAAACCACAATTTTTTGAATAAAATTTAGTTCCTGCGGCTTGACTTAAATAGAGAAATTTTACTGGCACTTGCATCTTTCTGGGTGCATGTACTTAAAAAAGAACTACCAGACAGAAATGAATAAACTAAAAACTCAAAGCTAGCAGCACACAGTCAATGACCCATTTTGATGTTCTGTCATTAATATTGTACAGTACCTTTTGGTTCACGCAATTAAACGCACTGTTTTCTCAAATGTAAAATAAACCCACACACAGTTCTTGATTTACATCAATGTCATGTTGTCTTTCTCCTACCGGTGCCACATGAGCTCAGCAACACCAGGCGTCAGGCATGCGGTCCACCAACCAACAGTCCACTCTGAGGCATCCTGGAGCCGCCTGGATGCCGAGATGCTGGATTCCACTGATTAGCATGGTGATTTCAGAAATGGTCCTGGAGATGCTGAGCTTAGCCATTGGGTGATGCTTGATCTGTCTGAGATGCTTCCAGGAAGAAGCCTTTAAAAATCTTGTAATGATCCTTTGTGGCTTCTAGGCTTTCAGTGAGGGGTGGGGTGGGACAGAACTTGGTCCAGTACCAAAGACGACCCCTGGGGCCTTGGGTCTAGTTCTGGATTGCTTCAAAGAGGAACCCCAATTATTTCTATGCTTGTAAAAATGTGCATTATTATTATTATTATTTTAAGAATATGGGTTGCTTCTCAGGTGGCATTGGGCCCAGTGTGCATCCTCTGCTCTCATTAGAGACTGCATCTAGAAAAGGAACCTCATCTGACCTTTGAAAGCCCAGCTCTCCCCTGCATGGAGGGACAGGGAAGCTGGGACCCTTTGCCCTGCCCTCCTTGGTTTCCCTGGAAGTGGGAGGTGAGGTGAACAGGAAATGGCTTTTTCTTCCTTTTGCTGATGTGGCGGCATTGCAGGTTAATGCGCTGGACTGCAAGGTTAGTTTGAACTACAAGGCTGGCAGTTCAAGCTCACCAGCCACTCCTTGGAAACCCTATACTGGGTCACTATGAGTCAGAACTGACTCAAAATCACTTAACAACCACAGCACCTTTTGCTTTAATGTTCACAAAATCATACCTGGTGAGAGGTTAGGGTTTGTACTGCTTTGTTGTGTGGTTTTAATGTCGCCAGTGTTGTGGGTGACAGTAGCCTTTGAAGTGGACTGGCTTAGTCCAGAGCACCCACTCTTTTTCTCACGCTAGGAGACCTTGTGGTGCTGTATGGTAAGCACTAGACTACTAACCACAGGTTGGCAGTTCAAACCCACCAGCATCTCTGAGAGAGAAAGAGAGTGGAGAGTTTTCCCACTCTAATAAAGATTGTTATTAAGTGCCATCGAGTTGTTTCCGACTCATAGCGACTCTGTAGAGGTTTTCAAGGAGCGGCTGCAGAGTTTGACCGCCAACTTAGTGGTTCAAACTGACTCTGAGGGCCAGTGCTGATCCTACAGTGCCACACCGGTAAAGATTACAGCCTCACAAACCCGATGCATGGTTGCTTTGAGTCAGAATAAACTCAATGGCAGCGGGGTTTTTTTTGTTTTGTTTTATCCCTCACGCTATTGAGGCTTGCTACAATTTTCTGACTTTTTTCGTTAGTAAACAGCTGTGTCCTTTTGGGGTTTCCATCACTTAGCCCTTTCAGTTCAATTACTGGATGATTACGCACTTTGGGTTCGAGGGGTAACAGAGAAGAATAACAATTAGACTGATGGTAGTTGGTACAGAACAACCTTCAAAGTTGTATCTGTATTCTCACAGGCCCACAAATACAGGGTTCTATAATTTCCACCCTTAAGGATCCTGCTAGCATAGTGGTTATGAATCGGGCTGCTAATCTCACAGTCAGCAGTTTGAAACTACCAGTTGTTCTGCGGGAGAAAGATGAAGCTTTCTGCTCCTGTAAAGATTTACAGTCTCAGAAACCTTATACAGGGTCACTATGGGTCAGAACCGACTCCACGGCACACCACCATGATCACCACCAATTTCCACCCCTTAGGCTGAGAGTTACTGGGCAGCAGGTGAGATGGTGCAGCACTAGGCCGGAGCTCCAGCCAGGTGAGGTGTACTGAGCCAGCACCTGGCTTCAGCAGCCACCTGAGCTCGCTCATTAGGAGCTGGACGTAGAATTTAGGTTCTCGGCCATAGTTTTGTTGTTTTTTTTAATCCAGCAACCACATGGGAGTATTATCATAGACCTTAATCCCCCAACCAAGGGATAGAAGACTTAATTAGCTTAGTAAGGGTATTTAGAATAACGATGCTGTTAGGTGCTGTTGAGTGGGCTCTGACTCAGAGACCCTACACACAATAGGATGAACAGTGCCAGGTTCTGCGCCCTCCTCACAGTTGTCCCTATCTTTGAGCCCATGGTTGCAGCCACTGTGTCAGCCCTTCTCATTGAGGATCTTCCTCTTTTTCTCGGACCCACCATTTTACCAAGCATGATAAAATGCAGGTCCGTCCCTCCTGAGAACCTGCCCAAAGTGTATGAGACCAAGTCTCACCATCTAGCATTCTGGCTGTCCTTCTTCCACACAGATTTGTTCAGTCTTCTCCTGGCTGTATCCAGTATTAACTGAGTTCCTACTGTGTGCCACAGTACTCATGGGTCCAATCCTCCCAATCATGCGAGGTGGTGGTTATGTGCCGTGGAGCCGGTTCCGATTCATAGCGACCCTGTATAGGGTTTCCGAGACTGTAAATCTTTACGGAAGCAGAAAGCCTCATCTTTCTCCCGTGGAACCACTGGTTGTTTTGAAATGCTGACCTTAAGATTAGCAGCCCAACTTGTAAACATTATTCTACCAGAGCTCCTTAAATCATGTGAGGTAGGTTCTGTTAATTCTACCTTCCTCATACAGTGGAGCAAGGGAGACGCAGGCAGGTCAAGACACTTGCCGCAGGTCACACAGGATAAGGAGTGACCAGATTGGGGCCAGGCCCACAGTCTCAATGCTGCACTTACCAAGGACTGCCGGTGGAGAACAAGGCTTCGTGAGACTGCCTGGGTGGGGGCTGGGCTGGCCAAGGGCTGGATTTCCGATTTCTGCCCCACGGAAGAGGCTAGTGGGTTATCTGCAGTAGGTGGAGCTGGAACACCCAGTAGGCAGATGCTGATCTGTGAGTAAATACATGGACTGCAGAGTATTTCTAACTGCATTTGCATCCCATCAGAGTGGTTGGAGGTGAAAAAATTGAGAAATGATATTCATTATGAGTTTGTAGCAATCCCAGTTGAATGCCGGGACAGATAGTCCTAGGATTAGCAATAAGTAAATATGCACCTAAACCTGCTTTAAATCAGCTCGTACTTAAGTCAGGACATTTAGTTAGGGTTTGTATCTGCTGTTAGATAGATATTTTGTCTTAGTGTATAGGGCACCTTTCTATGCACAAATGATCAAAACCACTTCTAAATACACCGAAACACCTTCAGCAGCATCAAACAGGACTATAATAATGGCAGGAATGCGGTGGCACTGTAGGCTAAGCACTGGACTTAGCCTACAAGGCTGGTGGTTCGAACCCATCAGCTGCTCCTAAGACTTACAGCCTCAGAAAAATCTATACAGGGTCGCACTTAACAATAACAACAACACAGTAATGATAACAGTAATGTTTTGATGCTCATTGCAAACTAGCATTTGTTTGTTACTATGGGCCACTGCATGCAGCCCCCCCAAATGTAATATAATAGGCTTGATGGGAACTGCTTTTGAACAGCGGGATATACTTTCATCCGGTGTTCAGAGTTGGGACTGCTGTATCCCTATGCCTACTAATCCAGAAATGCAATTGCACAAATGCAAACATGTTGTTGAAAGGTTCCGTAGAGTCATAGTGATTCTGTGAACAGCAGAATGAATGACTGCCTGGTCTGT